GCGCACGCGTGTGTGTGTGTGTGTGTGTGTGTGTGTGTATGTGTCTCGCGGGTGGGGGGATGTGAGTTCGGGAGGATGACAGAAGGGAAACCTATCAGATAGTTTGTTCATAATCTTTCTCTCTCAACAGTACTTAGTCCCCATATTTTCGATCTGTCATCCCGCAGGTCTGCTTTTAGCAGGTGGCACCACCTGAAGCGAGGGAGGAAGTTTCCTTGGATCTGTAGAGGTCGGTGTGGTGGTGGGGCTGCCTGGAATGGGGGAGGGGTTAGAAATCCGCCGCGATTGGACAGGCTCACCCAATTCTACTTTATTCCCCTAACATCCCTCCCATTTCAGGCTAGCGAAGGGGGCAAGCATGTGTATGTTTCGGATGGCATAGCGAGGTTAAAAAAATCCGACAACCTAGATGGTGAATCGGGAAAGGAAAGAATGAACAGTTAATCCGTCAGGCTCTCAGTACTCACCGGCTCTGGTCTCTGCAGATCAGAAGGGTTGTTGGGCGTGGCATACCTTCAGGGGAGGGAGGAAGCAAACTGCTTGTCTGGAAGAGGTTAGTGCAAGGGTGCCACTCCCTGGAAACACCCGAGGTTGGAGTGGCTGAGGCCCCAGAAGAGACAATGGGCTCCATTGCCTTTATCTAGGCTTGAGGAGGGAATGGACTGGGAAGGGTAGGTGGGGGGTGAAATGATGGGGATAGAGAGTTTGTTAACAATCTACATTTTCTACCAAGTACTCATTTATTACTCTCTTATCTTCCTGTGCAACTCCCTGCATGGGGCAATACAAGGAGAAGAGAAACTCAAACCCCATTTCTTTCCTCCACCTCTAGGTTCACCTCCAGTATCAGCTATTGGGACCTTGAAGTGGCTGAAGACATCACTCTCCACAGGCCTGCACCCAGAACCATAGTTCTCCCGTAACCTGAGTGACTAGTCTGTTCCTTGGTCCCTGCTATTGTCAGGGACGATTGCATGGGCTACGCCAGGAAAGTAGGCTGGGTGACTGCGGGACTGGTGATTGGGGCTGGTGCCTGCTATTGCATTTATAGACTGACTCGGGGAAGAAAACAGAACAAAGAGAAAATGGCTCAGGGCGTATCTGGGGATGTGGATGATGTTGGAGGCTGTCCTGGGGCCAGGTACAATGACTGGTCTGATGATGATGATGACAACAGTGAGAACAAGGGTATAGTATGGTACCCACCTTGGGCCCGGATTGGGACTGAGGCCGGGACCAGAGCTAGGGCCAGGGCAAGGGCCAGGGCTACCCGTGCTCGCAGAGCTGTTCAGAAACGGGCTTCCCCCAACTCAGATGATACTATTTTGTCCCCTCAAGAGCTGCAAAAAGTTCTTTGCTTGGTTGAGATGTCTGAAAAACCTTATATTCTTGAAGCAGCTTTAATTGCTCTGGGTAACAACGCTGCTTATGCATTTAACAGAGATATTATTCGTGATCTGGGTGGTCTCCCAATTGTTGCAAAGATTCTCAATACTCGAGATCCCATCGTTAAGGAAAAGGCTTTAATTGTCCTGAATAACCTGAGTGTGAATGCTGAAAATCAACGCAGGCTTAAGATATACATGAATCAAGTGTGTGATGATACGATTACTTCTCGCTTGAACTCATCTGTGCAGCTGGCTGGACTCAGATTGCTTACGAATATGACTGTTACTAATGAGTATCAGCACATGCTTGCTAATTCCATTTCAGACTTTTTTCGTTTATTTTCAGCGGGAAATGAGGAAACCAAATTTCAAGTTTTGAAACTCCTTTTGAATTTGGCTGAAAATCCAGCCATGACTAGAGAACTGCTCAGGGCCCAAGTACCATCTTCACTAGGTTCCCTCTTTAATAGAAAGGAGAACAAAGAAGTTATTCTGAAACTTTTGGTCATATTTGAGAACATAAATGACAATTTTAAGTGGGAAGAAAATGAATCTACTCAGAATCAATTCAGCGAAGGTTCACTTTTTTTCTTTTTAAAAGAATTTCAGGTGTGTGCTGATAAGATTCTGGGGATTGAAAGTCACCATGATTTTCTGGTGAAAGTAAAAGTTGGAAAATTCATGGCCAAACTGGCTGAGTGTATGTTCCCTAAGAGTCAGGAATAACCTTTTGATTTTGTAGGTTAGAAATAACACACATTGTAAACTATTTTTATTCTCTACCTTGTTTATATGGTAAAGGGATCCTTTCAGCTGCCAGTTTCGAGTAATGAATATCATATTGTATCATCAACGCTGATATTTATCTGAATTGGTCTTCAGGCCTAAGCTGGATGAATGAATATCACTACCTGTTCTGAAAGCATGTTTGTTGCTTTTTATTTCATTACCTAGGTTGAAATATTTTTACTACTTCTGCATAAGTGACAGTGAACCAATTGGTCCCAAGTAATCTCCCTCCTGTCACTTGCATTGACTTCATTTTTGTATCATCAATAAAGTTGTGTGTTAATGCTGGGAAGAAAAAGAAAGAAAAAAGAAAGAAACCACCCTTGTCCTTCTGTTTATAATCTATCTATTTGGAGAGATAAGAAACATACGGACGAAATAACTAGGAATATCTGGAGCTTATACTCATTGTCAAATGTGCCTTCTCAGAGCACAGAAGAAATGAAAGCTTCTGCAGGATACAGTAGTCAGCTACAGATTCATGGAAGAAGCGGCCATTTAAAAGGAGTCCTGGACAGGGTAGGTAGTTAAGGCATTCCATGAGATGGGAGTGAGGTTGGTGAGAAAGGCGTGGAGATAGGAACTTTCTTCTTATGACACTGAGGAGACTAGTCTGCTTAGAGTGGAAAGTGTA